GATGATATTATATCTAAATAATGTTTGGGCATCACTTTTTTTCCACAAGCAAAGATTATGTATATAATTTCTTTCCATTTCCATGAATTTCAACATGTTTGGGGAGGTCCATTCGCATTAAGTCAATATTCTCCTCTCTTTTTCTTGGCTGCAATCCTGCATGCACATGTTTTCCCAGGAACAGGTTCTACTGAGCACAGTAGATTTATATCCAGGCAAGCAGGGCTCTGTTGTTAATTCAATCAATGAACTGATTGGTTTCCAATCAAACTAAGCCTTAAATTCTGTTCTGAAGTGGTAAGGCGCAGAAGGATCTCACGGGGGCTTCCAAACTTCTTTTTTTCCCCCCCTCTGCTGTGCCAGTAACTATGGAAGCACGATTTGCAAAAAAACAAAATAGCTGAGCAAGTAAAAGGGAGATTTTTTTCGCCACACAATAGCATTATTACCTTATTCTTCTCCATCACCTCTGCCACGTGAAAGCTCTTATTCTCCTGTTAGTCTTAGAAGTCTGTTTTCTCTCTGCCAGTAATTCTTCAGAGTTCTCACATCTGAAATTATTTCATGTATGTAAACGGCATTTCTGCCGCAGGGAGAAAATGTGGCTGTTTTTCAATAATGCCATGTGCTGATAAGATCCAGATTCTGCACAGTGTCTGTTCTACAGGCAATGTGCTTTTAAATCAGGAGATAAAGGTTCCCTGAAAATATTAATTGTACTATGATGATGGTCCCTCATCCAAAGAATGGATCTTCATTGTATCCTACAAATATCACTACTTGCTTTACACTTGTAATCAAGAGATTTAGGACCCTGAATAGAACAACCCCATAGCAAATCAGATTATGTAACCAAGAATCCTACTTAACCTTTAAAAAACAGCATGAGCTTTCATTCTAAAACCAATGTAGCAGCTCACTAGCCCTCATGAATGCAACTGAAATCTGAACTCATGTCAATGTTAGATTAGATAGAGGTTGAGCTTTCCCAGTCATCAAATTATTATTCATAACCCTCCCTCTCACCACTCCAAAGGACATCCGAACACCAATATACATATTTTCCCCAGACTAACATCACAAAAAAAAGCTGCACTTTCCTTTCCTTCTAGTCTACTCACCAGGGAGACCTCATACTCTGAGCTGGAGGAGCATCTCATACAGATGTTTCAGAGTGAAATCTCCCTGCCTTGGCCAAGGGCCACCAATGCTACCCCACTGGCTGACACTGGTAGGGAAATGGATGTCGTAGCAACAAGAGCATACCTGGGAAGTTGCACTGTGTGTCATGGAAGGGGAAAAAGTAAGACAGCCTTGTAAATTCAGCTACCCTGAAAGCCACAGAAGCCTAAAGCTTGACATTCTCCCAGAGGAGCAGGTTGTAGGTACGTCTGCCATAGTCTTTTAGATTAGAGGCTAAGTGCACAGTTTGCCTGCAAAGAGGCTCACAGAAAACCCCAAACCCTCTTCTTTAATGGGCTGAAACAAAGACAGTCTATACTACTCCCATACTTTATTGATACAGTATTCCTTTCCTAGAAATGCATAATTCAGCAGAACCATCAATATACTTGTAACTCCGAGAACTGATTCTAAACCTCTGAATAAGCCTAATTTTATATCCAATTACACGTACATGCAAATAAACCAAGAAAATTCAGGGGGAAGGTAAATGAAGTTGCATTATAATACCTAGAGGCTGGATGAATTGAACAAAGCTTCTAGGAGAGGGCCCGTCGCATAAACATTATGCCGGCAATATTGTTTTGACAGTTTGTATAATATAAATGTGTTAGTTTGTTGTATTACAAGATAGCAGAATTTGTATTAAGAATGCAGTAACCTGAAAGAAAGCCTTCGCGAATAAATTCAGTAACTCCCTTACTATGGGACACACAAGTTGGGTAGAGAGCACGGGGGGTGGGCTGGGCTGTATTATGTACAGGATAATAAAAACATTCCTAGCTCCAATAAATGTACCATAATCAGAAACATCATCTTAGAATTCCATAAATACTGCAGGAGTTTAAGAAACTTGGGAGGCACAGAGTCCCTAAACGAATGTCAGCTCACAATGTTCACTCTAAACCATGATGGCTGTGAAAACCTTCATTTGTCCAAAACATTGTAGCAACATAAAGTATTGTCATTCTTCCATATTTTCTTTGGCATGAATAGGCATACGGATCGTGTTTGGATTTCAGCTCACCCCCACACCGTAAGCACCACAGGATTCTTCTGCGGCTTTGAAACAATAAGGGAAGCGTGCTAGAAAGCCAGGAGGAATCAAACATGAGCACAGAAAGAATGACTGTTTCCCATCAACCATCTTACACAATGCACCACCCATGGGCCAAGGGGCTGTCAAAGCATTTGGACCCATGTGCCTGAATGTGCTGCCCACCAAGGACTGCTTTCAATTCCGTTGCAATCTACCAACTATGCATGTCCAAGGGAAGAACTTCCTGTATACTCACAAAGTTTAGAGGCTACTTCTCAAGTCTGGACTTTCTCCAGCCCTGACAAGAGAGGGGAAGCAAAAAGCAGCTCTCCCTGTATTATCAGACTACAGCGCCAATAAGCCCTGTGCAACTAATCGAAAGGTGAAGACTACTGGGAACTGAAGCCAAACAGGATTTTTGCCTACTCCTAAACTAAGGTGATTGTTCCTCTCTAGTATGGCCAAAAGTGGATTACCTAAAGGCAGAAAATCCATGACACTGCCTCTTTGTGGCTTCATGAGCAATGGTATATGGGACTTAAGAGGAACCATAAATGGGAAGGAATTTGAAGAGGATATATTAATTACAATGCTCAGGAAAGGAGATCATAATTACACAGGCATCAATGAGTCTAACAAAGCAGCTATTGCTTTGTCAAATAAATTAAGTAACATCAAAAAATAAATGTGTTGCATGTGGCCCATGAAAGAGGCAACAGCCTTTTAAAAAAAAACAAAGGTTAACAATGGCCTTGGTGGCCATTTTGAGTTGCACACACCTTTTCAGTAAACTAACTAGAGCCAGAAGAACCGCAAGTAAATAGCTTGGGGTTTTGGATTTTATTTCTTTTTTAACAAGAAGCAATTTTAGTATGTAAAATGTTAATTTTATTCTAATGGAATAGGATAGCAAATTAAGGATATTTGTAAAATGGTGAACTTTGGGACAAGTTCAGCAGATAAATATATAAAATATTGGCTGAAACCCAGTAGCAAGAAGAACTCATGCAGACCCACTGAATCAGTGGAACTGGATGTGTCAGCTCTTCCTTAAGTTTCATTGATTCAATGGGCCTAGCGTAGTTACTATTATAGAGTTCAGCCACTATGGCTTAGAAATCTTTGAAAAGGACAGAGGGGGGAAAAACCTTTGTTTGAGCACAGATGTCTCAGTATTTTCAGCCACTATGGCTTAGAAATCTTGAGTCCCCTTTGAAAAGGACAGAGGGGGGAAAGACCTTTGTTTGAGCACAGATGTCTCAGTATGAGCCTTTATTACTGCTACTGATCTCAGGGTTTAAGGTTAAGCAGCTGAAAAAGAAGGACTTCCAGAAATCAAAGCTTAGATCAAACAGAATACATGAAACTATTTGTAGGCTTAAGTCATCAAGCTAATAATTAAGTCCTCTGTCTTGAAAACAATCTGCTTAGCCAATGAAGGTTCCTAAATTAGGAAGAGAATACTTGTATGTTTGGAAAGCAATTGCACACATCCACAGCCAACATTTCCTTAGGAGCTGCACAACTCTTCCAATCATATTTACCATATGCTGTATCCATAATAACGTTTGCTAACTCAGCACTAAAATTATATTCATGGCTATTGTGACCCCAGTCATGAGTGCCCGAACAATGGAATGTTAACAACATACATATCAGCAAAAATATCTTCGTTCATAGAAAGGTTTTCCACAAATTAAAACATACAGTAAAAGTAAGAGTGTGTGAGGACACTGATGGTGGCAAGCCCTCCCCCTTTTTAATGGAGTGTCTCACCGTCACCCAGGACCTGCCAAGTTCTGGATGGTGAGCTGCCCCATCAAGCTGGGAGAAGACAGATTTAGTTGACAACAGGCCAGGAACCTTGATGGCAAGAGGAGGACACTCTTGCCATCTGAGGTCCTGGAGGGGAACGCATGGGCTGGAAGCCTGGATCCAGAACAGCAATCCCTAGAGGGAGCAATGGGGCCTTGGGAACTGGGAGATAAAAAGGAGGCACTGGACGTGGGGGGGACAGACCCAGACTGTAGAAGAGAAGGTGGAACAGGCGGTGCAGACAGGAAACATAGCAGACGAGGAGGAGGTGGAATTGGGTTCCTGGGGGTTATCTTGGAAAACCAGGTTGAGCGTTTTCAGGCTGAAGAAGAGCTTCCTGAGAAACCAGAGCCATCTGGGGATTGGATATATATATATACAAAGAGGAGTACTGGATATGGGCACCGGTACATCTCAGAGTGCCCAAAGATGAGGTAGGAAGGCAACTCATTCAGCAGCCATTGCCCAGTCCTCACACTGGGGAGAATGACAATGGAAGGAACAAAGACTCTGAGCCAGCCTAGCCCCAGGGAACCTACTGCTACTCATCTGTGATGCTGGTGAAGACCATGTCAGTGGACATGCCGGAACCAGCAGCCGTGATAAGACATGGGCAAGAGACCAGCACCATTGCCCTCAGTGCAGACCTATGAAAAAAAAACCTTGCCCTGCCCTGCAGCCCCCATGTTTTGGGTCAGTGGGGATGTCTCCGTCGAGAGATATGAGACTGAAATCCCTCCTGTGAAGGTAACGTGGAGGGACAGAGGACTTGGGCTCATTGGAATTAAGAACTGGTTCCTGGGCAGTGCAAGAAGCTAGCCTAGAACAAGTCAAAAACACATCTGCCAACAGAGCTAAGGCTGGTAGGGCTCAGCACATGGATATTTATACAGAACCTGAATTGCCTTTGAAACATTTAGTCCTGTGGTAAAAAAAACAAACTGGAAATAAAATTGTAGCTCACCTTCAGGTTCCAGAGTGGTGTACGATGGCCGAGCCCATGAAAATCCAGCCATGGTGACCACCACCAGGCAGATAAGGCAACATGAATCCCAACTGATCATCTTCTCAGTGCCAGTCCCTGGTCTTCTTCCATGCCTCCATGTGGACTTTAATCCCATCTGAGCTCCTCTACACAAGCATGGACTGAAAGCAGCACCTTCAGCCTAGATAAGTATGTTTTTATTTCTCTTTGCTGCAAATTCCCCTGCAGGAAAGGAAAAAAAATTGCAATGTAGAGTTTGGGAGGCACTGGTTACAAATAAAGAGTCACTTCTAAATCATTCTCTTTTTTTTCCCAATTACAAAGCTGTAACTACCTTCTATTATGATTGTAACTCTTTTTTCCAATTACAAAGGTGTAACTACCTTCTATTATGATTGTAACTCAGTCAGAGATAACAAATCCATTTACACTGTAATGGTAACTTCTTTGTTACTTTGATTGTTCTGGAGGTGTGGCCTTGGGAAAAGCTGGAAACAAACATCAATGGCTAAAGTACTGCCTCATGTTTTGCCTCATGCTGCTCCTTCATGCTCAAGCTCTTTGCAGAAGCAATGACAAGATAGATGAGAGGAGAGTGTGCTTTCTACCAATGGTTTTTGGACCTGGGCTTCTTCTTTTTTTTAAGGAAATAAAAACTAAGCAATTAATTTTGCAAAATGGGAAGGCATTACATTTGGCAGAAAATAACTATTTCTCCTTTGAATTGCAATAGAAAGGTTGAGGATTAAATTTTAACACTCCATTTCAAAAAGAAAATGTCCAGCATTTGAAAATATCCATCTTCTTCATGCAGAGTAACTGCATGAAGTAACAGTTAGAAGTAACTGTAATGGGACTTACTCCCATGAACTGTTTTCAGTGGGGTTTACTTCTCAGTAATTGTTCTTAGAATGGCCAAGGACCATTCAACTGAGACAGCTATATAGTACACAGATCTGCTGGATGAAAATCTCACTGGTTCCATGTTTCCAAAACTATTTGTTTTCTCTTGTATTTTTTTTTAAAAAATCTACATTTGTAAGCATCTTATCAGAAACAAGGATTTCCCAGAAGATCCCCAATTGATTTCCCAGAAAAATGTCTCTTCAATGGGGAGATGGCAGCAGTGGCACTGGCAGCAGAAACAATGAAGACTGGTATGTGCGTTGGAGGCAATTTTACTGGAACTCATGGCTGCATGACACTTGATTATTTCAGTATGCTTTTAGGCCAAGGAACATTTGCTTAAAGGAGCTACTTGGATTTTTTTAAAAAAATAAATATGCAAAGACTGTTTTAAGTGAACAACATAATTATATACATGTGTGGACCCATCAGGTCTCATTTTACAAAATTATTACATTCTATTTTTGCACTGTGCAGGTCCTGCCATGAATGTGCACGGCTGACAGCCAAGAATCAATTAGAGCAGACTCCCTTTATCAAGGTACATACATACAGACAATGCCAGATAAAGACAGAGTATCTCTAGCCTTCGTTCAGGGACTACTATAGCCTTACATGGTTTGGAAGTGTATAAAATAGTCTTTCATGCAGTTCAGTCCTTCCAGCATTTGATTCTGGAAGCGTTCTGTTCTAGAGCAAGTAATTATAAGCCTGGAAGTTCTGGAGTATGTGATCCGTGGTTCTGTCACATACACAGGACTACTACACCAAGCAGTAGTCCTGAAATCAAGGGCTCTGGATTAATTGCTTTCACGTTGGTTTGCTATTATTGCTCAGTGTTCATATGGCAAGCTGCACACAGACCATACAAGGGACAGAAAATTTACAGCTAAATCTCAACATGACAGGAATGGCGGGAATAGAGGGACAGCCACATGTACTGTAAAAGGAGAATCAGATAGCTGAGGCAAAACAGATGAAGTAAGTGGCCTTATTTGTTTGTTTGTTTGTTTGTGTGTGTGTTTATTTTTACCCCACCTTTCTCCTTGAAAAGGACCCAAGGTGGCTTACAACATTGAAAGACAATATTTGAAGCTAAGAACAGTGAGTATAAAGCCGCATCTTGCATCCTTTAAATGCAATATTAAAACTAAGAAAATTAAGTATACAATTTTTTAAAAAAAATGCTACTCTGAGAAATGGAAAACACAAAATATGGAAAACACAAGTACAGTAATACTAAAAATCCAGTCAAAGTAGTAATGCATACCAATATCCATCTAAAAATGACAAAATTACTGAGGGAAGGCTTGACTGAAGGGAAAGGTCTTTACCTGCTTGCGGATGTACAGCAAAGAGGGGACCAGTCTGGCCTCCTGTGGGAGGCAAATATCCATCTAAAAATGACAAAGTTACTGAGTAAAGGCTTGCCTGAAGGGAAAGGTCTTTGCCTGCTTGCGGATGTACCGCAAAGAGGGTACCAGCCTGGCCTCCTGTGGGAGGGAGTTCCAAAGTCTCAGAGCAGCAACAGAGAAGGCCCTCTCCTGCGTCACCATCAGATAAACCTGTGAAGGTGGTGGGACCAAGAGAAAGGCCTCTCCTGGTGATCTTAACACTTGAGCTGGCTCATAATGGGAGATACAGTCTTTGAGACAGCTTGGATCCAGGCCATTTAGGGCTTTATAGGTCAAAAAACAGCACTTTGAATTGTGCCCAGAAAGTGACGGGCAGCCAGTGGAGCTGCAGCAACAGAGTGGGGTTGGGTATGTGATCCCTGAAACCACCCCCTTCCAGCAATCTGGCTGCTGCATTTTGGACCAGCTGAAATTTCCTGACACTTTCCATTGTCGGCCTGACATAGAAGGTATTACAATAATCCCTCCAGGAAGTAACTAGGGCATGTGTCACAGTGGCCAGATCCGATCTTTTTTAAAAATGGACATAGCTGGCACACTAGTTTTAATTGTGCAAATGCACTCCTGCCCACCACTGAGACCTGGGCATCCAGGCTCAGGGATGAATCCAGTAGCACCCCTCAAGCTACACACCTGTTTTTTTTTCCCAATGGAAGTATAATCCCCTCCAGTACAGGCTGCATCCCTATTCCTTGATCTGTCTTTTGACTGACCAGAAGCACCTCCATCTTACTTGGACTAAGTTTCAGTTATCCATTCCGTTACTGATACCAAACACTGATCTAGAGCCTCTGATCTTCCCTCCAGTCAATTAACTGATCTTTATACTTTGTCTTTTTAATTATCTCATCTTGGCAATGATTTATATAAGTGTTAAAATTTTGATGTTTTAAATTTTTTACGATATCTGTTATTGTGATGTTTTTATCATGTATGTAAGCCGCCCCGAGTAGACTTTGTCGGGGGGGGCGGGTAAAAAAACTAATAAAAGTAAAGTAAAGTAAAGCAGCTTCCTCAGGTTTACTGTAGGTGGCAAGGAGAGTTAGAGTTGGTTATCATCCGCATACTGGTGACACCGAACCCCCAAACTCCAGATAATCCCTCCCAGCGGTGTTAGGTAAATGTTCAATAAAACAGGAGACAAGACACAACTCTGAGGGACTCTACAGGTCAAAGGCCAGGGTGTTGAGCATGAATCCCCCAGCACCACCTTGTGAGTTCTTTCCTTCAGGAAAGACTTTTCGCCAACATAAAACAGTGCCCCCAAGTCCCATTTCATTTGTAGCACCCATTGACACTTGAATTCTGCTTGATTGCAGACAAACCCTTACTCCCCAGTCTCAGTCCCCAAGTTCTCACATGGAGCCATCAGTGCCTGTCAAACTGATGGACCATGTGTAAGAATTGTCTGAGATGCTATACATGAAGTACTTAGAAAACTCCAGGGAGACATTGCAAAGTCCTGGACCAAAATTCAGCTTCAGAGCCTTTTTCAGCTACACACACTGCCATGAACATCAAGAGAAAAGAAGGAATGCAAATAACATGTATTTATAACCAGCTTTTGTGGCTTTGGGCAAGCTGCATCTTTCCAGGATTCCCCCAGAAAAAAAAGGAATGATAAACTACTCATGAGTATTCTCTACTCTTTACCTGGAAAACCCTTTAAAAAGGTTCACCATAAGTCAGAATTGACTTCACGGCACATTGCTGTTGTTACAGGCATACGTTTTCTTATCTACAATGTCCCATATTTTCTCTTGTTTTCTACAAGACAAATAGAAGTTTGTTACTACTGTTTGTATTGATCTATCGGTCTGAAGTGACTGGAAGCAGTTCAGTCTTTTTGCACAGCCACATTTAATCTATAAGACGGAGAGAACAGCAGTGTTTTACTTAAAGCAAAATGCTAAAGAAATATAAACATTCTGCAACAATGCACCATAAAAATCTAAGATTCTTTCTCCAGTACGTGTGTTTTTGGAACCATGAGTGGCAGCAGACCTTGAAAAAGTTACTTTTTCTGGGCTACAACCTCTGCAATCCTCTATTCAGCATAAAGATTCCGGGAGCTATAATCCCAAAAAGTAACTCTTCAAATTCTGATATCCCATATCCAATCTCTAGCTAGACTCCACTGTCTCCTCACACACATTCACTCTTTGTTCCTCTCTCTCTCTTAGCCTAACCTAGTTCGCACATTTTGAATTTCAGTGAACAGCATAAAAATGTTTTGCTCTCTCTTACTCTCTCTCTCTCTCTCTCTCTCTCTCACATACACACACACACACACACACACACACCACTGACCAGTGGTCTAGAAATGATTCATCATCTATTGGACAATATTAGTTAACTATCTAGTAGCAGTTACTTATCTGGAAAAGGTTGCTTTTGACACAAACCCACCAGCACTGCAAAACTGTTTGTTTTTACTATTACAAATTCTAAAAGAGAAAATGGCAGTTGATTTGACACACCACGGAAATCTTGGATGCTGTGTAACAAACTTCCAAAGCTACTTCACATATGAAATTATGTTTTGCCTAAAGCTTTTATTTGATAAAATGATGCTTTAAGAAACTCTTGAATGCACAGTTTTACTCGCATATTCTAGTGATGATGGGAAATAGAACTGACTCACATGGCACATTAAAGAACCAATTAGTATATTATCAGAAAAGCCCATGGCACATTCAAAAGAATGGGGTTGTTTTAAATCTATTTAAACTCCATAGATACCAATTAGATACAATAACTGAGGCTCAAAGGCTACTTTGAGGCAAACCCTACATGGCAAACCCTACCAAATTGTTCTCCCTTCAGCTAGTTCTCCAAACCCTTCAACTACCAGATGACTTACCACAGGTTTCATAGTCTCTTGAAAATAATATAAATCATTTGATTCTCCATCTCAGTGGAAAGAAGACTGCTGCATAGACATTTTAGGAAACCTGGAATACTGGAAGATGCTTTAGGTCCATCTAGGTCAGTATTTTCAGTTCCAACTGGTGGTGGTTCTCCAAGGTTTCACATAGAATCCCCTCCCGCCCCCCTTTAGCTCTGCCTGGTGACTTCTGGCATATCCTGGTGGTCTCCTGTCAAAGTACTAACCAGGCCTGACCCTCCTTAGCTCATACAGGTGCTCGGTGTGATATTTTGGGGAAGAAAGGGAGGTGTTAAAAAGGGTTCTTCTTCTGTATGAGACACTGAGAACAGAAAGGGAAATCAAAGCTCCTTCTCTAGAAACTTCTTTGGAAATATGAACTTCCCTCAGCAAAAACCAGCAGGCGAGCAACACGCAAGCCTTTGACTTCTGTCAGCAAATGTTGCACTTCACCCATAATAAACAACATGTTCCTGGCACTTTGAACAGCCAAATCTGCAACCTCCTTTGAGTAGAATGCCTGCCTCTCTCTCTCTCTCTCTCTCTCTCTCTCTCTCTCTCTCTCTCTGTCATTTCCAAAAATCATGAGTCCCTCCCTACGCATGGTTCTCTTCCTGCAGCTCTCAAAGCAGAAGGGAAAAAAATGGCAAGTGCCCTAAACTCATCTCCTCAACTCCCTCCTTTATGAGTCCATGATCTGATAAAGAGGCCTCCTACCCTGGGCAATTATGTCCCTGGATCTCAGTCTTTGGAACACAACTCCAGAATGCCTTTATATATATATTGTCCTTCAGAAGTTTAGCTTCCTGACCTTAAACAGCATAATCCCTCCTGGAGTCTTGGGGCTCAGCAAAAGCCACGTTTTGTATTTATTTCTCTCCTAGCCCCTACCCGGAGAAAGAGAACCCTCAGTCCCTCTTCCCCAGCCCCTCTAATGGGGGAGGAGTTGTCAGCCTCCCATGAGTGATGGCTCCAGCCTTGCCACCCGCTCATCAAGTCAATTTTCACCTCATCACATACCTGCCCAAATGCCTTTTGCCAGACTGACAGGCATGGGAAAAAAAACAGCCTGGGGTTGGGATGGGAGCCATACCAAATTCCTTCAAGCTGTAGCTGCAGTTTGTTTGTGTTTCTGTGTGTGTGTGTGTGTGTGTAAGACACACACAAACAAGTCGTACTTGTTCTAGAGTGGCGGTAATTAAATTCAAGCCTAAGCATTCATTTTAATCTAGCCCCATTGTTATGTGTGTGATGTTTATCGCTCTCCAGGGAGGTTGTAATTTGTAGAGAGTATGTCATCCAAATCAATGCCCTGACCTGCCTCTCCCCTCCTTAGGCACTGGGAATACAGGAAAATCTGTGCAAGCACAGATCAATGTCCCCCCTCACCCCACCCCCACGAGCTTATAGAAAATTAGCTGTATAGCAATTAGGGGACAGTACGCTGGGTCAAAGCTCCCCCCCCTTCCCCTTTGCACCGGCACTCTTCAAAGAGATCTGGTATTAAACATTAATTCTGGAAGGTTATTGGTGGGGAGGGGGCACCGACCAGGCAGCACCAATAGTTTAGCATTGTCTGAACTTTTTTCATTCACTTTTTCTCCTGGACTACCCTGTTTTTCTCCGAGTTTTCTGTGGATGGGGGGGGGGAGAGAGAGAGAAAGAGAGAGAGAGAAATCTGCATTTTAATTGACATTCCAGAGAGGTACAGAGGCTGCTCATTGCAGTCTATTCAAACCAAACAGGCTTTTCAGATGAAAATGAGTAAAGGCAAGTAGAAGATTTACAGGGATTTCGTACAAAGGAGACAATGAGGTTTGAAATGTTGATGGCGCTTCACACCAACTATATAATGAGCCCCTGTTTGAAAGGGCAGTTTCATACACCGGTATATACATACACACAATGCACGTATACATATACATGTTCATCAGAGTTTCTTCTTTCATCATGGTTTCTTCATAAGAAGGAAACCTATGAATCACTACTCTAAAAAAGTAAAAATAAAATAAAAGCAGCTTTCAAACAGTGCCTCCCCACAAGAAAAACCTATTGTCCTTTTGGTTTGTATTACGTCTACATCACGTTTCCACTAAGCTCCATGTAAATCATTTCTGTCCCTACACACAGAGACACATTAAAAGAGTCCATGTGTTATTCCCTCCTCCGTCCTTCAGGATAGCACTACAAGTAAGAGGACTGACACACCAATTTGACATAGTCCTAAAACCTGATCACTCATTTTTCCTGCAACTGAATCGACTAGATCGCCTTCGCCTCCTTCAAACCCTCTCCCACCTTTTCCAACAAAAGCATTTTTTTAATGTCACGCCAGTTAAATCACAGCTCTACCGTTTGGGTTCTGTTACACGACCGTAACAATCCACAATGCTTTTTTTTTAAAAAAAAGATAGATTATCTGTAAACATAATCAAAGGGGCAGCAGTGATCAGAGTTTAGCACCTTTAAAAAAGGCAAAGCAAAGCAAACAAACGAAGCAGGGTGCCAAGGTTCAAACGTCCGCACAAAACCCTCCATTAGGGGAGCAACGATCCTTCAGGTGGCCCGAAGGAAGAAACTTTGCACATGCTCCGGGTACCCCTTATTTATACCTCAAGTGTTCCACGGAACCATTTTCAGAGCTAAGAATTTTGCTCCGATGAAGTCCCCCGTTATAGAATTTGCAGAAGGCTCGTCCACAGAAGTTAAAATCTGTTTTTTTACATACTGAACAGGTAGATGTTCAGGTACTAATTAACAGTATGGGGCCCCTCTTCCTTTTGCATTTCAGGAACTGCTAAAGCCATTCGGAGAAAGGAACTTGTGCCTGTTCCAACAAGGACACAAAAGTTGGGCAATCGCAATGCTCTCACCTTGACTTTTATTTTTAAGTGTGAACCACGCAAGTTACGCGCCCAGCGCCCACGCAGCGCCCGGTCCATTCCACCGAAATGGAATTTACGGATTGCCCAGCCCAGCCGGCCACCAGCGCGGGGGCCGGGTCCGTCAGCCGTCCGGCGGGCCACGCAAGACCATCATCCTCCAGGATCTCCTCGGAAGAGCGCGGCACACGGAGGACTGGACCCAAAGCTGTCAACCAGAAGCCAAGCCCGGGACAGTGATCCGCGCCATCCCGCCCGCACCCCCCCCC